AGCAGCAGAAGTGCTAAAAAATTTGAGACTTTCTTCAGATAAAGTTTTGTACAATACAAGAACATTTATTTGATTTATTAAAAGATCATTGTTTAATTACTTTAAATAACAAAACTTATAATACGGTATAAAATAATGGAACTGTCATTAGTATGATAAAAAATAAATTATATTTCTTTGTTAAAGAACGAACAATGATATCGGTAAAAGGTTAAAGCCATTAAATGATATTCCTGCCTCAAATATAAGACAAACCACTAGAAACAATCGGTTCGAAAATAACTCTTTTTAGTTATGTCTTTAAAAATTCATTTGCGTCTAAATCAGAATCAACAGAATAGGATTGCAGGATACTGTTTTGTAAATTTAAAATATTTAGGAAATCTCCACTGTCTATGGGTCTGTTTGTGACTGCATTTTATGCGAGTATTTCAAAATTGATTTCAATGCCGGTGCGTCTGTCAATTGTTTACGGTTTCCATATTCGATGTGAGCTTCGTGTTGCTTGGCTTTTTGATATGCAAAACATTTTTATTGGCCAGGCTGAAAAGTTGTTGACCGTAGACAAGAGCTGCTACCACACGGCCTTAGTTTCGGGCCTTATAAGTAATTGTTGATACGCGTAAATGCCAGCAATTGTAAAAGCCAACAAAATGGAGGGCCTTAGATAACAGCGACGAAGCGCACTTTAATGTGAATTCCCGCACTCTTAATCACTTAAGGTGGCACGAAAAATATGAAAATGAATTTTTGATGCTAATTTTGTTAATTGAATAAGAGATTTAAAATGCTTTGGCAGCTCGTTATTAATACGCACGAGTCTCGCATTTCACACGTTTCGCAGGGGGCCAAGAATTTAATCAATCCAACTGGTTGTTGTCTTCCCGCCCCCTCTCCCTCTCTCTGTCACACATTCGATATATATATACTATATATATATTTAATTTAAGATTAAAACTTGTTTTTGCATTTGGCACACGTTCAAATATGCGTTTAAGTGTTGTCGCATAGCAAGAGGCATTAGCATGTTTTATACTCAAACCTACATACATACAAGTATATATATACATATCTCTTTGTCCGATACGATGCGACGCGGAAATCGCTCCAAATGTGTAAACAATTTCACTTCGGGGGCAGTTGGCTTGCACATGCAATTATCAAAAATGTAATGCCAATTAAAAATTAGCTCACAAAATAAACACCAAAAATATTCGAGCAATTGTTGAAAAGTAAACACCTCAAATGTTTTTTCTTCTTCTTTTTTTCACATTTCGCCGCCCCAACAAAGCACGGCTAATAAACCACAAATGAAAATATGGCCGAGATGTTTGCGCAATCAACGATTTTAGCTTTTTATTTACAAATGCGAATCTATGTTTGTGTTTCGGTTTAATGCAGTTTTTTTTACTTCTACCCTTCAGGTAATGGGTATTGTATTTTTGAAATGAAAGCAGAAAACTTTTGGGAGAGAAACTGTAATGGAGCTAATTGGAAACATTTTAGGATGAGTCGAATATTGAATATTGAAATTCTGGTTTAAGAGCTATCCGCTATATATGAAAACTTCTTGATAAAAATACCAAAAGAAAATTTTGAATGCATCTGTTTCCATTTCCTTTCGAAGTTTTATAAAAAAAACTCCCAAGATGTGTTGAAACTGGTTACAAAGCTTGTTCAAATTGAATATTTTGTAAATATCACAATCAAAAACAACTTGACGAGATAAGAAACTTACGACGAAAGCAAGACAGCAAGCAATTTAGAAAATGTCAATGTCTGGACACAGCTATGTTTAAGAATTTCATTTTAATGATTCACAAGGGGTTAAGCACAAGCAATTCTTTTGGAGAATACTCTTATAAATGAAATGACAAATTTCGGTTTGATATTGACGTTCATTAGAAAGGTCCTTCATTACAAAGGTCGTTCAATCCTGCCGGATTCTAACCAGGTTTAAGTAATCGATTTTTAAAAAATTGGTCAACGAATTGGAAAACTGAATTTAATTTCGGAAAGTATGTCAATCTTCATAGGTGCCTTAAACGAAATTTCAAAACTGTGTAACTGGAAAAAGTATTAGTACTGGGGCTTTCGTCACCACATGGACTGCCCTCCATGGTAACATGTTGAGGAAAACTCGAAGGAAAACGGCTTTATGCTATATACTCGTATTTTAATGGCACGGAACTGGAATAAATGCAATTAAATAATTGTAGTACTTAATGTAATACTATAAATGGTCGTAAAAAAATGTAAATAAACTTATGGCTGCCAAAAATAAAACAAAAGTTCAAGGGGAACTACAGCCATTAGAATTGCTTGAAAATGTTTCAAGATGGGTCGCAATTAGCAGGTACCTCTGTGAAGTGAAGGATAGATTAAATGGATTTTTAAAAGAGCTAGGAAATATTTGGAGAACGATTTAAAATTTCTGAACGGCATTCAAGAACGAGTGAGATACGAAACAATCCGCAGAAGTCATTAGGTTTGACGATAATTAAATATTTCCATACATTTGAAAGAGTATTTGAAATAGTAGTTAACAAATAGTTAACACATCAATGTTTTTGGTTTTATTTAAATAAAAAAAGCTTTTATGATATGTTTGTTATTCTCGCCATGCACGAAGCAAATGTGACGCGAAAAAGAAGAAGACGCGTTCAAACGTCCAACGAAGCGCAAAGGCAAAAGCGGCTTAAGCCCCATTTTGACGGCATTCACACATATGAGTATACAAGTATCGTACCAAGAAATACATTTTTTTATGTAATCGCCCATTATAATTGGTGTTTGTATGTGACAAATTCATGAAAGGGTAGGTAACTGGGTTGGCGGGAAGAGGGAAGAGGGAGGAGGGAGGCAGAAACGGTCGGCAGCAACATGTGCGTCGGTTATGTGGCTAAGCCAGCACTACAACAACAATGTGCATATATCTGACATACATATATAGTATATGATTGGGTCGATAGCAACGATAAAACATATATCACGCATACGGCAGGTTGGCACGAGCACGTGCCTGTAATTTTTTATTTGCCAATATGGCATAATAAAACCAAAACCAAAAAAAGTTGAAAGAATAATCATATTGAAGCCTTGGACAACCGATTATTTCAATGATCAGTAAATAGACGTATGTATAAGACCGCTTACTCTGTGGAAGTCTTTCTATGGGAAGTACTGGAATCAAAGCTAGCATTAACAGCTGCTTGCTGCGTTGGGAAGGTACAGGCAGAGATAACATTTATGGTTATACCCTCATATCTTTCATGAAAGCAAAATTCGAGGAATTGCCAAAGCCAGACAAAATTGTACACCGCGAACGAATGGGAGGTATATATGTATGTACATACATAGGTATTGGAAAATATAATCTACATACAAAGTTTGGTGTCTCTTGCTGCAATAGTTTGCCCAAATGGCCTAACTTCCTCGACATTCTATCTGTGAACAGACGTGGATAGCCTGAACAAACATTGGTATAGAACAACAGATCGTTTTGTCTTGCCCCAGCCATCAGATCACTTTGTGGGGTCTACCACGCCTTATTCTGTGCTTTACTTGGTATACCTTACCAAACTTAGTATACCCTTCCCCCTTTGGGTAGGAAATGTATGCCGAGTTAACATACTATACATGTCAAAAATTAATTCTAAATTATCCTTTGAGTGAGAAGAAACACAATTCATCAGCGTACCATTCACTTTAGTTATTTTATTCGTCAGCAATCAATAGAAATAGTCATCATATGGTAGTTTAATTTAGTCTGCTCATGCAGATTATCGTAACACTAAAATGATTCGTAGGATTACTGTAAGTCACCAACATTTGAATTGAATACAAGTAGTTCGTTGTGTAATGCATTGAAAGAGGTTTTAAGTAATTTATTCCTAAAGGGAGTTGTAATGAAAAGTGAAAACTTCAAGTCATCTTGTTACGTTTTCTAATTAAACTGAGCTTTTAAGCAGTCAAAGATTTCTATTGAAATAAAACAAGTAATGAAATGCTTTATCAAAAATCAATAATAGGTCTGCACTAAAAGGTGCATTTCTGTATTTAGATCAGCTTTTAATTTAAAATGGTACTATTTCGTTATTTAAGAATATTATTTCTTTGAGAGGACCTTTATTAATAATCTGATAAAGAAAGAACATTAACCAGTTCCTGACCCATTTTTAATTATTAATTTATTAATCAATTAATAATAATTAAACATTTTAAATTTTAAAAAAAGCGAGCTTTTGATGTTTTTAGCAGCAACTCAATGAAATCCAATCCTTACTCTAATGTTATTTATTAGCAGAAGGCACATATCGGACCACAACTGATCGAAACAGAATACTATTGTTAAATCTTATAAAATTTAATATAAGTCTAACCAGTTTTCTAAATTTATTTAAAGACTTTTTTAACCTTTTAAAAACGTACTCAAATGACAATTGTCCACACCTTACTTATTTACGAGTATCTTTTCCTATGCAGCAATAAATTTTGACGGCAACAAGAAACAATTATCTACTTATTTATTGTCTTGGGCCGCGTCATGAACTTGATTTGGTACAAAGACTTGGCTACTAACTATGTTTGCTTATATATTTTTATATACATACAAGTATATACTACTAAGTAGTATATGCATACACATTTACCTCCAGGTGCATTGTGGCGGATGTATCTTAAATGTGCGTCTTGTCAGCGCGAAGCGACAAGCACGTTTCGATTCATACATATAAACATATTTTGTATTCTCTAAAAACACAATTGATTGGCCTTTAATCAAAAGCTGTGAACACGCCCCGTTCAAAAAGGAAAATGATGCAAATATGTTAAATCAAACAACAACAACAACAACTGATTAATTGTGGCAAGTCAATTAACATACATCGACAGCTCAATTATTGTTGTTGTGCGAGTCACAATGTCGAAGAGCTTTGGAGACTACACAGATTAGAGATTTTTATTCACCAGCGCTTTCTCTTCTTCTCGTTCCATTTCAGGCCTGCAGTCATTCATGTAAATTGCGAAGCCACTGGCATTTCGGCCAGCGATAAGCGGCCCAGTCAAGAACGTGACCAACGCCACCAACAGCACCTGCAACTGCAACAAAAGCTTCGCTGCACTGATAAAGAGGCAATCTATGGGCAGCAACATGCTGGAGAATGCGCAGCGATCAGTCGGAATGTTAACGTCAACGCGTTTGGACGCACCTGCGGTGCAGGCCGCTGCCGCTCAAGCGGTCGCTGCTGAGCGTGAGAGCGTTTGCGATGCAAATGCAAATGCAAATATAAATGCAACAAAATCGCCAACGCGTAAAGAAAAAACAATTTTGAATTGGTTGGTGAAAAGTGCGAGTGCGAGTGCGAGTGCGAATACGAGTGCCAGCAACGAAAACAATAATCGAGTGTCGCGCGTTTATAACAATTATAGCAGCGACAACTATAATAATCAACGGAATCATAATTGCACCTGTGAACGGGAACAAACGCGCGCGTTATTCAAGCAGCGCGCGGACAGCGGATTGCGCGATTTTCGCGGCGTGCAGACCTTGCGGCATTTGTGGAATAAGCGCATTAGTGCCTCCATAGAGCAGGCAGATGCACCCAGTCGTGGTCCTATTGGTACGCTACGCAAGCTTAACAAATCGGTCAGCTGTTTGGTGAACGCGTTTAATAACGCGCGCGAGTCGCCCGCGGCTGTGGAGACGCACGCAAAACGCACGCTCAGCCTACACGATTGCACGCAAATCGAGGCGTACGAACGCAACGTTGGCGACTTAAATCGCGAGAAGGACAATTTCTACAAATACAAAAACGCGGAACAAGCCAAAATGCGCAATAAACTGCGACGCAGCAGCGCTGCAGGTGCGCCTCGAGAGCGAGGCCACAGCATTGAGGATACTCTACATTTTCCCGTTGTGAAAGCAGCAAGTGGTGGAGGTGGAGGTGGTGGTGGAGGAGGCAGCTCTGTCGGTGGGGAACGTTTGCAATGGCCAAAACGTCAAGACGTCATTGGCCAACAACAATGCATAACGAAACGGCATACAGAAGCAGTTACCTCTGTGGACGACTTGCTAATTAACGAACACGAAGGCTTATCGCAAAACACCGCTCTTATCGCCAAAGGTAGCGCAGTCGACGTCGCTGCAACGACACCCACAACCACACCAACAAAGGCGGCAGCGCACAAAGAGAGTTGCGAAACGACGTCAATGGCAGCAGCAGTGGACTGCGGTAGTCTCCAAACAGCGAGCGCCAAGCGCGGCAGCAGCGACTCGCTTAATACAAATTCGAATTCGACGTCGGCATCGGCATCGACATCAACATCGACGCGACCGCGACGTAAATATAGCTTTAAAACGCATGCGGGCAGGTCCTACCATCACCATCACACGCCCCGACGCATGTCCCTGAATCAACAATTGAGTGCTGGCGGCTTGAGCGGCGTCTCTGCCGGCAGCAGCGACTGCAGCGGCAGCATGGTGGCGAAACTGACGCAGCAATTCAATGAGATCATACAAAAGGATCGCAGTGTTTTGGAGGAGGTGAAGCGCAAAAATGGTGTCTGGCTCTCACGTGGTGCGCATGTCTACAAAATTGTGGAGAAAACGCCCTCCACAGCCTCCAATGCAGAGCAGCACGTCCCCACAGACGCCTCTATGGTGCAGCGCAACATTAAGAAATTCGAGAAGCTAGAGAAGCCAGGCGTGCCTCTGAAGACACATCAGGTAATACGCAAGCACCGGGAGCTGATGGGTAACTGTCCCCCCAACAGGCCTAACAGCTTGCCGTTAGGCAAGACGCGACACCACAAGCGCAATTCTCTAAAGCTACAGCAGCAGCAACAACAACAAGGGCATCAACAACAACAACAGTTGCAGCAGCTGGAGCCACCCAAGCTGGAGGTGGTCCGGGAAGAGGCGAAGACGCCCATTGAAAATGAATTGGCGCAGGAAGCAGTCGAAATGCCACCTGATGAGGCACAAAAGACCGCAGAGACTGTGGATTTTGTGGATTCTGTGGCTGATGACGTTGACGCCAGTGCTGCCAATGCCGAGGCAGAAGATGCCGCGACTGCGGAGCGACAAAAACAGCGCAAACATAAATATGCAATGATTTATGAAAAGTTTCGTTTTGCCTCACCATTTGGCAAAGGTGGCAAGAAGTCGACAACGCCATCGCCCAGCAGGTCAACGGAAGCTGCAACAACAACAGAAACAACAACAGCACCAACAACACCAACTCCAACACCAACAACAGAAATTGCAGCAACGGAAGCGATTGCAACAAGCCCCGAACCGGCAGCCAAAATACTCGACGCCCTTGAAGCAGTGGACCAAAAGTTGAAAGGTCTCAGTCTGGGGCTGGGGCTAACCACCGATGCGGAGTCTGGAGATCTGCTGCTGGCAGCCAATGATGATTTTGAGCAGCGGATATTGCCAAACAATTCCTTTATCTATCAGGCGGCCAACAAGCAGATATCGAATAACCAATTGTTGGTCACACAGGCCGTAAATGTGACGCTCGTGAATGCCATCGAGGGGGAGCAGATGATCATGGAGCAAAAGGAGTTGGCTACAGAGCAGGAGGAGCCCATGTATGAACCCATCGCGCAGGAGCAACCGGAACAACAACACCAACTAGCGGTCACACCCCCTGAAGTCAAGACTGAGCCACAAAGTTCGGGCCTCTATAAAATATCCAAAAAATCAGACTCGCCAGCGGCGCAGAACGATGATATCTATCAAACAGTGGAGGAGGCATGTTTCCAAAAACCCTTGAGTTCCCCGAGCCCCAATACCAACAACCACAACAACAACAATTGGCTAGAGGGCTATGAATCTATAGCGGGTTCTTGTGAGGCTCGAAATACCGCTCTTGGCAGAAAATTTAGCTTCGATGGCTATGAAACTTTTTCGCCGCCCACCCCTAGCTCGGAGGAGCCCGTCACGCCCACAGCTACGGCTACAACAGGCACTCTGGGACGTAATACGAATGACGAACTGCCCGAGCTGCCGAAACCCAAACGCATAGTACCCATAAGAAGGGCCCCGTTGAGACCAACAGCCAAGCCACCAACAACAACAACAACCACAAGGGCAATAATGAAAACTAGTCAAGAAGAACAAGAGAAAATCGCGACTGAGCCAACGCCTGAGGATCATCATTATTATGCGGATGACGATGATGAGAATATCTACGATACGATCAAGGGTGTCCATTGCTACGAGTCCATGCATAAGAGTACAACAACAACACTGATAGTCCAGAGCAATGGCGGAGCAGATGCTATATCCTTGAGCTCCAATTGCTATGAGAGCATTTCCAATTATCGGAAGAGCAACAAGCCCCAAGGCAGTTGCATACAACTCTCCAGCAGCGGCTCCACACTCACCATTTCCTCCGACCACAAGACGAACAGCCTGTACGAGTCCTCGCTGGCCGCTGGAATCCACTATGGCAGCGCCAGTGTCGGCTGCCGCTCCTCGCTGGGCAGCAGCGCCGGAAGCGGCAGTGGCAGCGGACGCAGCAGCAATGGCAGACGCCCTTCGAAGCCCAACGAAAGGCGCTCCTCGATTGCTGCCTCCAGTGATAACAGCGATGCCTGGGTAGATATATCCGATGGAGAGACGGCGCAGGCGCAGAAGCAATTCATTGTGTAAGTATCAGGGGCTATGAGACAGACCTCTCCGATGTAATTGCATTCAAACTATTTAGATTTGACAATTACGAGTAAGTCATAAACTAAAGAACCGGTCAGACATGCAGATAATTTGCAAGTCTACTTGAGCAGTCCCAAAGCGGAGCTTCATTGAAATAACATTACATTCGCAAGAAAAGAAAATAATAAATTGAGGAATTTGTATGCAAATTATTTGCATCGTCTGACCGTAGCAAACATAAATCAAAGCGCCGGTCAGACATGCAGATAATTTGCAAGTGTACTTGAGCAGTCCCAAACAGGAGCTTCATTGAATAATCTGAGGAATTTATGTGCAAATTATTTGCATCATCTGATCGTAGCAGCAAACATAAACAAATGATGCATCTATTCGCTTATTTATAGTATAAAGATTTCTCTCGGAATACACTCAACATTTGAAGTCTATATTTGAAGCGTAGACTCTTCATATCCAGGCACAGATTAAATTATGACTAGTTTGTTTAATTTAGCCAAAAAGTATATAAAATTATATGAACTTCAAATTTAACTTTAAACCTCCTAGAGAATTTCAAATCTTAAACGAAAACCTAATATTAAACTTACTGGCATAATGGAAAAATTTATTAACAGCTGGTTCCGTTGACAAAAGTGTTTTATTTTAATTAATGTTTCATGTTTAGTCGGTCCCTAGTGCTTAGTGTGAGAAATAATATTCTTTTCCTATAATACTTATATTCCAATCATACAGCTGTTATAGAAAAGTTTGAATTTTTATAAATAGATTTAAAATTCTTGCACACTTATTATTTCAAGAGAAACTTCAACAAGCTAAGAATGTTTTCATTGTGTTATTATTATTTTTGAAAAACTATATTCAAGTTTTTTAGACATTTCCGATCAGTTACTCGTAAACATGGCATAACATATACACACAAAGCAATCCGAAAACGATTTTATAAATTCTGCGTTGGTTAGAAATTGTTGACTAGTTTGTTTGGATTTTTGCTTATCTTATCGCCAACGCTGCGGCTATATTCAGTTTTTTTTTTTGCGCTGACGACAATTGATAATGCAGCGAGGGTTGCTTTTTAGATTCCAAAATAAAATGACAATCTATATTAGTATATAAATATACATAGATATGCTTGTACTTATGTACACATTTATGCCATAGCGTTTGTCTGAAATGGGGTCAAGGTATTCCAGCTCTCCCATTGCTATCTAACTATAAGCTCTTGACGTTTATTAGCGCTATCTATAATCGGTAGTTTCGGTTTTCGAAAAGGCAGTATAGGTGTATAGGAAGCCAAAGACTATTTAGCCCTGCATTTGTATAATATGAAATGAATAGCAGTTCTGAAGTGTGGTTCTTGAGCTTTACTTGAAAATATTAAAGTTATTGTAAGTTTGAGAAAACATACTGAAATGCCAACAATAATAAAAATTTCCCCATTATCAAAGAAACATTTACCTTTTTTGTACAGCTATATCGCTATATTTCTAAACCACTAGTAATTATGACAATCGTCAGAAAGTTCAAATTGTTTGACAACATCTTCATTTAAGCAATCAATTGATACCGTTTTTTTTTTTTTGTACCCCCACTTCTTATGCTATTCAATGAAATGCATTCAAGTTTTCCACGGTCCCAGAACGCATTTTGTGCAACTTACGAGTACATGGCCCACAACAGGCCTCAGGCCTTAATTAGCACTTTGACCCAGAATTGCGTTCGTTATCAGAGATAAGATTGTAACGTTTTGAAATTCTCAGAGCAGTACAAACGATTCGGAAGACAGTGAGATATTAACTCTTATGGCTAGAAGACGTATCATATTAATAATGATCGCGTCTAATGATAGAATGAAATTCTTTAACGTATTATCTAAATTGTAATAGTATTGTAAACTCATTGATGGGCTATTAAATTAGTTGTTTTTGGTAATTGCAGTGTTCGCGAACGTTTCAAACATCATCGAAGTCCCGATTGGTCCAAGCGCATTAGAGACAAAAGACTGCAACAACAGAAAGCGATTAGCTACATTGATGGTGAGTAATTTTTCTAGTTGTGTAATAAGTAAGCCATTTACTTAAACCGCAATATCTTTACATACATGGATGTACGTGTATACAAAATGATCACACACCATGATTAAGTGAAACGCGAAGTTAAACAAAAGATAATATAGTTAAATGAATCATGACAACTGTATTTAGGTAAACTGCCTAAGATTTAATTCCACTTCTGCAGCTGCAAACTGTACAACACTGGCTTTTCTCAGATACCCTAAATATGCAACAAAAGCTTTCGCTTTTAAAGAAACCCTGTCATTTCTTTTCGAATAGCTAAAGCTTTTAAGTTCAGCTTTAAGAGCTTTGTTAAAGCGCGCTGTAAACTGCTTAAGTGGTTCGTGCATTTGCTGAAGTCAAGATCCACATGCATGTCACAGCAACAACGTAGAAAAACATTAGCTCTTTTAAATATGTATTCGATTATTATGTTAATTAAACATAAGCGGCAAACTAATGTATATGTGTATAAACACACTTTTCTGCATGTGGTAGCCGTGGATTTAAATACCAAAACACTAGCAATTATGGCATTTGATTAATATACGAAAATTATGCACATGCCAAGGCACTTCAGCCAGTGCCTCAGGCGGCTTGAAAAAAACACGGCAACAATAACAACGAAAATGTCAAAAGGTAGGCTAACAAGGCCCTGTTAATTGTGCCTAAGAGCGGATTGAAAATGAGAGTAATTCCGTGTGCGCTTTGGGGCGTATAACAATCACAAAACAAAAACCAGCAGAACGTTTGAGTCGCGGGATCCCGACTCTGGCATACCCTGCACACGCCTCTCTGCCCACACACAGCCATTCCACTAAAATTAGAATTTTTATGGTTAACAAACGAAATTATTCTAGGAAGAGCGATTTTTGCATCTCTAAAAGCTAACGAAATGAACTTCATCTGCGCATGAATAAGACCCTTCGGGTATGTGCTATAAAAATGAGCATAAATAAGTAAGTCAAATGAGTAAGCGCAGTGATCAAAAGAGACGTTTGACAGTAGTGTTGTTGCCGCTCTGTTGCTGGTCCGTTAGTTCAAGTATTGGCGCCAACAGGTTCCACATATATGGGAAATAATAAAAAATACAAAAACAAGTTGTGGTGCACGCCTGCCTTAATGAGAGCGGCGCACACCAACGCGCTCAGAGCAGACAATGCCATAAACTGGACAGGAGCAACAACAAAAGCAATAGCGTCGCGTGGAACATGGAGCTGTGCAATTTTTTTTTTTCGTTGTTTTGTGATCGCTGCCCGCCGCCAACACCAACACTCAATGGCTCAGTCAGACGCGTTCATTTCCAACGTGCAGTCGTGTCGTAGTAGAGTGGCGCTGTTGTTGCCAACGAAGGCACCGCTCTTGGCGTAGTTGTTGCTGCTGTTGCAGCTTAAATATTTATGAGAATTTTGATAAATGTGTAAAATATGTATGTTGTGTGTTTTGTGCAATTTATATTGTGTAAAAAGTGAAATGAAGCAGAGTGAAGAAAAAGTGCATGCGCTGCATATTAAAATTAGCGGCCAAATATGAATGGTGATCGCGCCGTTGACTACACGCCGGCAGAGCTAGCGAACTCTGCTCTCTGCTCTCTCAGGCAATGCATGCAGTCGACGACAAATGCAGCAGCAGAGCGTTTTCAGTTTCAATTTATTGCAAACTTATTGTAGTTGTAGTTGTTGCTGTTGTTTTGTTCAGTTGCTTTTGTGCAAAGCCAACGAAACGTCACGAACTGATGTTACTCGCCTTGTTGTTGTTGTTAATGTCGCTGCCATCTGCCCCTTACACGCTTGCAATGCTACAATAGTTGTTGTAATTCATGTTGCTGTTGTTGTTGTTGTTGCTGGTGATGACGATGACGAAATTATTTAGCGAAAACCAGTCTAGAAATATAAAACGCTCAAAAGCGCGCCGTAACCTTGAAGAATACAAACAGACAAAGCAGTCGAAGCCGAAGTTGTAGCATTAACAACAACAAAAGGCAGCTTAAGGAATCTTCAAGATACAAATGTACACATAAACATACATACATACATACATGCCTAGATAGTAGTTGGTTGGATGACTCGACTTTTCAAACAAAACGAACCCAATGAGCAGTTTTCAATTTTTGCGATGTGAAATTTTTAAATAAAACTACATAAATGAATAAACAGAAATAAGCGCCATTTGCGAAATGCAATGCAAAGTTACTACACAGACACACACAAACACACACACAAACACACAAATACCGCCAAATGAAAAACTTGCGAAAAATGCAAGATGGCCGCTTTTGTATTTTTTCCACAACTGAATGTGAGAAGCGGCTGCCAAAGTTCACTGAACGCACCAAGCAAAATTTAATAAAAATAAAAACTACAAAAACCAAATGGAAATTTTAATGGAAAAAAGTAAAAAAAAAGTAGCAAAATTAGTTTCATGGAGCTGCAGTTTAGCAAATGGTTTAAGCGCGTTTAGTGAAATTGTGCCCATTGGCTGGATTCTCAGCCATCACTTTTAACTCTCTACTGTGTGCTATAAACCCCAGCTGCGACTGCGACTTGGGCACGCGATGCCGTAGGAGCAGCGAAAGCGAAAGTGTCATTAAAAATGCCGCAAGTTGCGTCTAATTGTTGCACGCAATGGCGGAAAAGTTGTCGGGGAGGAAAAATGTATGTACAACAGACCAGCCATAATATTTATGACACGCATATAGGAAACGATTTCTGCGGCTTAGGCACAATTGCACAATTAGCAGAGAGCTTAGGGTTTTGTTTTTAAAACCCATGGGTGTTACGGCTCGCTTCGTTGTTATTGTTTGTGGCCCTCATTAACAACAGCTAGACAGTCTTGAGCAACAACATCGATATCGACAACAATTTTCACTTAATAATTTCAACCTCAACGCAATTAACACGACATACTACTATCAGACCAACCAACCATCCATCCATCCATCCATCAATCACACGATCAGACAGCGGTCAGCTGCATTGCATTGAAAATTGTTTTCCGAGCGATAATTCCTGCATTATCAATGCAGCCCACTTTGCTGATCTCTCTGGTTAACATTAATCTCATATTAATCTCATTGCCAACCTGGCCACTTGCCACTTGTTGCCGTTGCCGTCGCCGTCGCGATGTCGAGACATTCTCAGCATATGCATTAAAATATGCATATGAGCTCGGTCAAGGTCCGTTCTTAGACAAAGGCGGACAGTTCACGGTCGATAAAATAAATGGCTCCAAAACAAAACGGAAACAATGCTCTCTATCTAAGAATAGGTCGACTAAAGAGTGCTTCAAAAAACTGTAAGCTTTGAAATTCCAATGACAGGCAATGAATCCAAAATTTCAAAAGTTTATGTCAATAAATCTACACAGCTGTCTAGCTTAGTGGCGATACAAACAAGGCAGGTCAAGAACAAAACAGAGTCAGTCCACTATTACTTCCACTATAACTTCCCAAGAAGCCAGAGCCACCTTTCCTTTTGGAATCACATTGATTGAGGTGGAAAATGCTGGCTCTTCAATTGAATGATGCCCACTGTTTGGTCTCGTCCACGAACACTGCTCCGCATACATAGTCTCACATATTTATATTTAAATCTGATATTTCCTAGCTTAAAATTATGTTTCGTGCTTCCGCTTCATAATGAAGAGATATTATTGGGTTGAACGCCTTTTTCTTCAAATTTTCCGTTTTTACATCGAAACTGATTCAAAATTGTTCAAGTCCGTAACCATTTCCGAACTCGATTAAATTTGTGGAAACCGATTTGGCATAAGTTTCAAATTTTCACCAAAAAGTGAATTTCTAAAATGAACTTCGGAAATAATCACAAATCGAAATTACTTGGCGAATGAGATTTAAATTTAACTCCAATTTCGATAAAGAATGTGTTTGATATAATTCCGAATCACAAGCATAACTATAATTACCTTTTCATGAGTTTAATAGTTTTTAAACATACCAAGAATTCGCAAACACTTTAAAATTGTGCAAATTCTGAAAGATTCTGGTTCACCTGGAATTTATCATCTTTTTCTTTCGTTCCTTCATTTAGTACTAAATACAAAGTCCATATATCGAGAGCTTACTGTGATGTAAACACAGAAATTGTACGTCTGATAGTCGATCTCACAGAAATGCAGCGGAGCCAGCTGTTTATTTATCTGCCTTGCAAGTAGATACGAAGTCTATACATGCCTTTGTATATACTTGTATCTACTTACATATATACACATTTACGTTTGTATATACGTCTGCAAGTATATACGAGTATATAAAAATCTGTATATCACACATAACTGTAGACAGCTGCCTTTCTTCTAAACGCCTCCTTTGTTAAGAACTCATGCGTGAGCCATTTATTTCAGCCGCTTTTCATGTGGGCTGTTACAAATATAATTGGCCAAAGTAATGCCGACATATATGGCTGGGGGCTATAACAAAAGACAGAGCAAATATCATTTCCGTCTCTTCGCAATCTACAAAGATATAACACTTACTTTACAGTCGAGCGATTCGTTGTCTTTCAGTGTGTGTGAGTGTGTGTGATTCCCTCTTAAGATATTTCGCAGAATTTTGCAATATATAAATTCTCAAACCGGTAAGCTTTCGGATTATTTGACGTAATTGGCGTTTGGGCCACGAAATTAACACAACCACAGCGGAGAGACGAACTGGCCAAGAGCTGGTCACGACCACAAAAGTCGCTTGACAAGAAACCCACGCGCAACAAGTGCCAACCAAAGGTATCGCGTTTCAAATTGAGAGTACACAGGGGTATATGGATTTAAATACGTGTACATATAGAGTAGAGTGGGCCTCAGATTTCTTTAGAGTGGGCTTTTGTGAGGATACGATTTTTGAACACATTACATATCCGTAGAAGACAAGGGCGATGCAGACATGTCCTCAACATTTCAGTTTACAGTTTATGTGAAATCTTTGCTGAGATTTAATACCGGGAAGTATAAGTATATATATATATAAGTATAAGTATAGTTAACACTGTGTAATGTATCAAGGTATCTAGCCCAACTGTAAGCAGTTTCTTGGTAATTCATCTGAAGCTTAGACATTGCACAATGATCAGAGTATTGCTTTTAAGCAATATATTTGAATCTTATTCGTGCGTCAATTTAATTAAAACATTGAAAAATATAATTGTGATATCATTTGATATTCTTGCTACTACTGAAACTAATAAACTAAATGCAAATTGTCACATTTTTTATGGCAATATTGTTGTAAAATGTTGTAGATTAAAAAAAAATATAATTATATTTGAAAAGAAATTTGTTTTGATATTAAATAATTTATTCAAAAAACATATTCAAAACTGATATCAGTTGAACTCAGAGCTTAAAGGCTTAATCGAGATGATTTTCTTTTCGTCGTATTAGTAATTTCATATTAGATTTGGAAGGCAGTATTTTGAATATTTGAAATGATGATCTTAAAATGTTTCAATCAAATTGCGATTACATATATTTTTAAAATAATTAAAACGCCAGCGATTCAGATTAAGACCAGCAAAAAAAACGTTATTAATAGTAAAATACTTTACTATACACATTTAAATCGTATTGTATTGTTTCTCAAGAATCTGCAATATTGAAATATAACAAAAATTCAATTCAATCAACAACAGTTTCTTTAGATTCAGACAACCATTTCAATAGTTTTTGAATATTTAGAAACCTTCTTTACTTGACCAGTGCTATTAAAAATGTTAATTTCAGGTATTAGTCAGTAATAAATAAATAAATAAATAATCACTTTTGCTCCAAGGCTTAAAGTTAGTTCAAGTTATTTTATAAAAAAAAAATATCTTAAGATGGATGGATTAGTGACAACCATTTCAATAGTTTTTGAATATTTTTAAACTTTTTCCTCCAAAATGTCTTAATAAGATGGATGGATTATCTATGCCCGGGTGTGACGAACACTGGGCTTGTATACCGAAAAATTTATGAGAAGACTTGTAAAATCGATAGATTTCAAATATTTGGTTACATTTTTAGAAAACTTTATAATCATAATTTGGTTGTGAACTGCTCAGCTGCTTAGAGCTGAGCTTAATGTCTTAATTAGTAATTTACTTGTAATTATTACAAAGATTCTGGGTAGCATCCAGTTAGTATTATTTAGACTCAGTCTCTTTCTCTTCATTTCCAAACATACTATATAATTACACGTATGTATGTGAATAGGCTGGTTTGACAATTCTCTGACCTTCTGAAAAGCGTCCGCTCGACAATAAATATACACAAATATATGTACATATCTGTGATTATATAGAGATATGTATATGGTTAGCATCCACAAGTGGAACGCAACGAGAGTCATCAAATGGCGCTCTCTGACGTCTGATCTGTCGTGGTTGTTGGTTTTATCTCTAACCGGTCTGGTCTGTTGCCCTCATCTCACCCCTGTTCGGGTTTTTTGTGTTAACGCTTTCCACTTTGCCGCCGCAGTGTAGACGTAATTTAGCTTTTATCTAGTTTTTTTTTTTGTTTTGCGTTTTTTTTTTTTGTACATATATGCTATTTGTTTAATTTTTGCGCTGGTACTCGTACATGGCTGAGATTGTTGGTAATCACACCTGTCGTGTTTTGCATTCAACCATGATTTCATTATTTATACATTTGTGTGTCAGACCCAAGCATACAAGTATAACAAATTTTTAATCTGGCTTCTGGTTTGCGTGGCTGTAGTTGGAATTTCTAAGCTTTGAAAACAGATTATTTAGTTTGTCACTCATTAAGCAATCGGTCAAAAACATGAGTTCCTGCTTCAGAACTAGGCGAATTAGTATTATTTATTATCAAACAGTGTGGAATCGATGTAGCTTAATACATGGTTTTCTTTCTTGAATGCTTAAAGGGCCACCAACCACAAACCAAGCTGCCATTCTTGAAATCCTTCTCACACAACACAGCTCTTTATCTGTAAAATGGACTTGACTCCCTCACGGAATATAATAAATAAAATTTTGAAACTACACTAGCGACACTAGCTTATAATATGAGTATATTATACGAGTACATAAATATTTTAATACATTCCCAGCATACAGGCTGCTACCAGGACTAACTTCAGGATTAAAATATGTAGCATTTATTCATTTTATTGATTCAAAACTGGCGAGAGGAACTACATAATATTCTGCGCCTCGAGTCTACATTAAAAATGATACTTTTGCATATCTGAACATTTTATTCATCACATACTTATTATATAGTTGATTCGATCTACTATTATTTGTTTTTTGTCTATTAACTGAAAGTTTTATAAAAACCTTTTATCAGCTAAACAAAAATCGTTTAAATATCATCCAGTCCGTTCTCTGAAATGGAAAGCCTTTAAAGGACTTCTTCACACCAAACTGACTATTGACAGAGCCCTAGAGAGAAGAAGAGAAGATACTTTAAAAGTATTCATATTCGCTGAACTTTTTAGTTAGCCTTACCTCGAAATCGTTTAAGACAACAGCTAAGTGAAACGATTTAAAGGGCAACACCAAAATGAAAGCATGACGGACTGGCCTCACCGCCACTTGTGATTCAACTAACTGGCCTCCCCGGGCTCGATTCGCAACGCGCCTAAGGGGCTGATGGTTGACTTTTGCTAAACATTCGAAAATGGAAACAGGGCTTACAACAAGTTGGTTTTGTTTTGACAACAAATTGTGACAGCTGACGAGTTGCGTTAATTGAAGCCAACTGTGAACATTGTTCGAATTTAACCAAAAATGATTAAAGCTCGCTAATTGGTCGTAAAAAATGAAGACGTGCAGGCCCTTGTTTGGTTAGGATGTGGGCAGATAAGAGTGGCAGTGGCTTTTGAAAGACCCGCGAACGTGTTGAGCTCGAGGAGTGAACGAAGGGCGGGTTTTCTTTTAATTGATTTCAATTACAATTTGTGCCTTTTATTGTCGTTTGTTTAATGAATGCAAATGGCAAGCGCATGCAGCGAAGCCAAACAAAGCAATTCCAAAGAGTTCAAAAGTTCAACAATTACAACAACACAACAACAGCAGCAACAACTAACGATTAAGATATTTCTTGTGCAGCACAAAAAAGAACTTGCTTCAATGCCTAAACAGCGTCTTTGCCTTCAAAATAGTCTTGTAGGCAGTGAAGAATGGCCCATGCAATGCAAACTTTAACACCCCCGCACCAAACGGGGTCCAATGGCCAACGGCTGAGTGTCACAAGCAGCGTCAGCGTCAGCGGCAGCGGAAGCAGTTACAGTAACAATACAGACACAGCTACCTTGCACCGAACGCTGCCCCGCAAGCGACGACCCCGCGCCGTCGGCGAGGTCTACATCACATCTCCGGCCAGTCGCCTCTACCTGAATGGGGAGCCGAGCGCCCCTCTGGAGCCGCTCAGCGAGCCCATCTATCAAAACGAGGCGGCGGCCATCAGCCAGCGCTGCTGCTACGCCCAGCAGCGTTGCCAACGCCTGACCGTCGCCCGCACCCAAAATGGCGACCGCAAAGACCCAACCAAAGAGTCCATGGTAGTGAGCACCTTTGTAGGTCAGTGCTCGAAACATAAGTCTTAACACGCACCACACCAATTATTAAGTTAGGCATACTTTATCAATCATATATCGCCATTTAGTCACAAAGTTTTTACATTGTAGTATTCAGAAATGGAAAAGCCCATATGTAGCTCCCAATAAACGAAATCTACTCCTATTACTATTTTTATACAGGCAGAAGGAAGCATCTCCGACCCCATAAAGTATAGATACATACTCTTGATCTGCATGACGGAGAAATGCAGAAAAATCGATATAGACATGTCCGTTCGTCTGTCCGCCTGAATGAACGCCAGGATCTCAGAAACTATAAAAGTAGGACAAACCAAAGTTGGTATCCAGATTCTCCTAGATGCGAGAAAGGACGAGTTTATTTGATTTTTTTGAATTTTGAATTTTGAGTATCCACAAGGAAAGGGTATACAAGAAGGTCGAAACGCCAAGAGAGGGGCGTTGCAGACCCCGTGTTTTAGGTACATACACCTAATTCTGTTTTTACACGGTAGATTGGTTCCAGAAACAACCGTGTAAAAAAAAGTCGTTGATCATATGCAAAAATAGCTGATTGGTTCCCTATCTCTAAAGAAATACTTATATATGCAATTTTTAATTTTCAACCCGTGTTATATCGAAATCGTGTAAAAAAATACCGTGTAAAAACAGAATTATGTGTATATGTAGATTTAGACATATTCGCCCGTCTGTCCTGTGTGTCTGTGCCTGAACGTCGAAATTTTGTAAACTGTAAAAACTAGGGTTACCCAACATTGTATGTTGACTTGTGACAAGCCATACATATATAGCCTTATTATTTTATATAGTTTACGTAACCAACGAATAGTGGTTATAAGAACTACATGCCTTCAGATTCATTAACAAGATTCCTATTCGCTAATTTCAATTTTCTTTCCAGATGACTCCGATCATTATTACGAGACGCTGTCGCCGTTGGGCAACAAGCGGCATTCCACGCAACTTGAGGAGCAACGCACGCCAACGAATCACAACCAGGATCTGCCCCGCTATGTCAGCAATGGTGTGAGGGCTTCACAGCGTCAGGGAAAGAAGCATTCGGCCTCCGCGCATGCGTTGGGTGAACATGTCCCCAACTCGGACGATTACGATAGCTTCGAGAGCGACACAGATGAGCACTACGAGCAGGATGAGCGCTTGCGTCATGTAAGTAATGGACTCCATTACCCGCTCTTTAGGGATGACAAAGGACAGAGAGAAAGTTGAAAACCCATGACAAACACAATATTTAAAAGTTACCTCTCACATGAATGTTCTGCCTTTTAGAAGTAAATTATTTCATTAGGGGTCATCAATTTGTGTTGCACTCTATATCACATTTTCTTGGTCCAGTTTTTTGTGGATATAACAAGATATCGTATTTTTAATTCATCCGCAACTATGATTTTGATAATTGTAAAAATGCACTAATAAGATTTCGACATTTTCCGAAATTCTTTTAAGGAAGAAATTGTCGGAAATACGATCAAGAATGTTTCCTTTGTGCGGAAGCCAAAAAGTTTTAACTGAAAAGTTGAACCCTCTAGAACCTCATTAGCAAATCGGTGCTTAATTAATTTCTCCTCTTAACAAAACTAAGATTTTAGTTGTGGTAACAAGCAATCAGAAGCGAACTAATCCTTTACTCCTTTTCTCTTCCAGCACAATGATAGTGGCGTGGACATACGAAATCATCGACTGCCCGATCCACCGGCGCCACAGAAACAAGTCTATGCGATTGTGCGGAAGTTCAGGGACTTCATCTCAAATAAAAAATCACCGAAGGGCGCCGGAAAGTACGGAGGTAGTCAGCAAAAGTTGTACGAGAACACCACGCAGTTCTATGTGGAGAGCGGCAGTTGTTTGGGCCAAAGCAGTGGAAACCTCTACGAAAAGTCACAAAACCGCAAGAAAACGAACGCGAAAAAACTAGCAAACCATCGGGATGACATCTACGATAATACGGAGTTCCACAAAATGCCGGCGACAAATCTGAGTAACTCGGAAAAGAATTTGCTGGCGAATGCCAATCGCCAGGAGACCACAAATAGCGCCACATTGCTGCGCAACAAGCAGAAGAATACGAAGAGTCTGCGTTCGCGCCTGCGAAAGAGCCTTGTGGGTGTCAGCTTCGATACCAAACAACTCTCCACGCTGACGTCCACTCGCAGCACCTTCTACATTGAGGATCCTGTACAGAGCGGCTCTGGGGAGCTCGATTCCGGTTTCTCCGAGAAGGCATCCTCGGGCGACATTCCCGTGCAGCCAACAGAGGTTCCCAGCGCCGAGTCACAAAAATTTGCCACTGTGGCCCGCAAGTCGAAGAAGGAGGCGAAGGCACACAACGCCCAGCGACGTCGCACAACCATTGGCATTCGGCCACACGAACCACCACCTCCACCTCCGGAGGATAAACAAGGAGATGGTGCCAACAAGACGCCCACAACCTCATGGTATGCCGAATGTGGAGTCTTCAAGCAGTCCACAGAAATAAGTCAACTCCCTCTACTCAATGAGAACCACAGCGAATTGGGTGGAAAAGCCATCGCTCCATCCCACAGTGGATCGAGCAATGGGCACACTAGTGGCGGCAACTCGTGGTACACGGAGTCGGGACTCTATCAGACCAGCGGTGTCTCCGTGGCCAGCTCGAGCGGCAGCTCCGGCGTGTCCACGGGCAACGAGGCCGGCCTGGGCGACGAATTGCCGCCGCACAGTCTTTTCCTCAACGAGCCGCTCTATCAAATCTACAGCGCAGCCAAACTAGAGGTGAGTACGGGACGACCAAAGATTCAAAAACCAATAGCTGTTGCAAAAAAAGTGAAAAGTAGTATTTCCATAAAAAGAATAAGTAAACCCGAAACAAGCTAGGTTAGTTTATTCTCATAGATTGTCATAGAAACTATATCGTCAATAGGTATAAAAATTTGAATGATAAGTGATACTGACATCTGGCTTAACAGAATTTTTCTAACAGAATTTCTCAAAACACATACATATCTATCCTGGCCAATCAGAGTTGCCAATTAAGCTATTTCCCGTCATCTGAGGAGTTATTAGAAGTGCAGGAGACGTTTTTAATCTATATCTTGTCTTGGGTCAGGCAATGATTTGGTGTAGGAAACTCAATCGCAGATAACTTATTTCATGTAGCAGTCATTGAAATAATATGTTCCTTATGTCTACGACTTCATATCGCATTGCAAAAGTATCTAACTATACCTGTAGAGTACATTAAAAATAGCTTAAACTCATTATCTTACAAAAATGAAATGGACGAACCTTCAGAGTTGGAAATCGGAGTTTCTTTAAGGGAATAAGGTCCATTCAAAATAAGCTCTTTACCAGAAATTAGCTTTTATCAGTTGCCAACACTGCCCTTCAACCTTTTCCCAGTTTAAAATCCATTTTCTTTAGTTTAGGACTACGCTAAATTGGGATCAGTTACTTTATTTCTTCTTCTTGTTTTTTATACCCTGTACCCGTAGGGTAAAAAGGGTATATTAGGTTTGTGCAAAGTATGTAACATACAGAAGGAAGCATCTCCGACCCCATAAAGTATATATATTCTTGATCAGCATGACGAGAGAAATCGATCTAGACATGTCCGTCCGTCTGTCCGTCCGTCTGTCCGTCTGGATGAACGCGAGGATCTCAGAAACTATAAAAGCTAGAATAACCAAAGTTGGCATCCAGATTCTCCTAGGTCCGAGTAAGGACGAGTTTATTTTATTTTTTGGAATTTTCCCCCCCTTCCCCCGCTACAGAATTTCGTCAATAGCGTCCACATTTCAAATGCTACCTAAACCAAACTTTGCACACATAATTTATACATAATTGTCTACTGTTGTTCAAAATTTTATTCAATTCGGTCAATTCTAAGAAAAGTTATTAGCAAAACAAATTCTCCCCAGTGCAACCCCCCCAAACTGCAGCAACAAGTTCGCTCTTCTTCTTCCTCTTTTTGCTGCTGCTATGGGCGCATATAACTCAGTGACGGAAGTTTACCTGGGTACAGGGTATTACACTGTCGGGCTTGCTCGACTGTAGCGTTCTCTCTTGTTAATACTGAAACTCTCAAACGAACAGGCAATTCCCCGAAAAATGATAAGGAAATCACTAATGATTTGCTTTCTTTGCACAGTCCATAACACGTGATCTGGAAGATCATGAGAGCTCTACGGATGGCTATGAGGAAATTGGACAGCATTCGCGCACCCAGAAGGAACCAACGGATTCACTGAAGCGCAGCAACGACTCCAATGTCCGAAAGAGCACACGTCCAACGGCACTTCAGCTTGTAGAACCGAAGAACGGACCATCGCGCACGCTCTGGAGTGAAATACCGGAGGTTACTAACTCGGGCATATTACGTAAGTAAATCTGATAGACATTACAGATATAGCTGCTAATCCTGTCTCCGAATCCGTACAGCCACGCTTACCCCTAGAGAACGTGGCCTGCAAGAGGCAAAATTCGAGATTATCACCTCCGAGGCCAGTTACTTGAAATCTCTGAATCTCCTGCGTCGCCACTTCATGAATAATGTCGCCTTCTGTGACACATCCGTGCTTAGTTCGCGCGACCGGAAGGCGCTCTTCTCCTACATTGTGCCCGTGCACGAGTGCTCCGAGCGTCTGCTGACGGAACTCGAATCCTGCTGGCAGGACAACATCATGCTGCTGGGCCTGAGTCACCGCATCTATGCCATAGCCGAGCGCTACTTCCATGTTTATATCTCCTTCTGCGAGCATCAGGGCCGCATGGATCGTACGCTGCGCCATCTGAAGAGCACCAAGGGCGTCTTCCAGCAGCAGCTGGTGAAACTGGAGACCAGTCCCCATTGCTGTGGCCTCAACCTGCTCTCATTCCTGATGCTGCCCATGCAACGGATCACCCGACTCCCGCTGCTCATCGACGCGGTCTTTAGCAAGGTGTCCCCACACGATGACGAGTACGAGAGCTGGAAGATGACGCTGGCCATCATGAACAAGATTGTGACGCAGTGCAACGAGGCGGCCAATCGTTGCGAGCAGGCCTACGAGCTGGAACGCATTTCCAAGCAGCTTGAATTCCCCAGTTACATTCGTGCCTTGGCCATAGCGCCTGTGGGCGTGCCCAAGCAGGGAGCCAAGCCGCGCTTCCTGGTGAAACGTGGCGAGCTGACCCACATAATGTGTCGCGGGGATGACGCCAAACTGACATTTGGCAAGCGGTTCACCAAATCCAGCATTTATGCGTTTCTATTCTCCGATCTTCTTGTGCTAACCAAACGCAAAGGCGAGTCCCAGTTCAGCGTCTTCGATTACTGCCCCAGAAGTTTGCTGACCATCGCCTCCGACGACTCACTGCCACAACTGCCAACCAAAGACATCAAGGATCAGACCGGCAAGAATCTCATACTGATGACCCTCCTGGAGAACTACGAGGGGAAGACCGTCGAACTTGTAAGTACATATGCCAGATTGATTTTTCGTAAATCGAATTCCTCCCTAACGCATCTCATTTCATTTTATCAAACACTTAACAAAATGTGCCAACAGCTATAGTATTTGGGTGCATTTTCCAATTTGTCTGAGATTTTTAAAGGAATAAGAAATCTAATGATTCCATATTTTTACAGGTGCTCTCTTGTCCGTCTGTGTCGGATCAGCAGCGTTGGCTGCAGGCTATGCGGCCACCGGAGGCGGAAACGCCTGGTGAGAAACTGTACGAGTCCTGGGACTGCCCGCAAGTAATTGCCAAGCACAGCTACGAATCCGATGAGCCAGATGTGCTTAATTTGGAGTTGGGAGATGTTGTAAATGTTTCTCGCAAGCTACCAGACGGTACGTACACCCACAATATATCAAAAGTATTGTAAATATATAGCAAATTTGTTTAATGGCAGGTTGGTACCAGGGCGAGCGCATCCGTGATGGCGCTGTTGGCTGGTTCCCCGGCAGCTACACCGAGGAAGTCAATTCAGCGCATGTGCGGGCACGGAACCTAAAACAGCGTTACCGTCTCCTAACCTTCACCGCCACCTATTTGGAGTTGCAGAAGCGCAAGTGAAAGGAATGCCAAGAACCGCTCGATAGTAGTCGGAAGTTTCGTTTTTGCATAAACAAACCTGTAGTCCTTTAGCTGAAAGTGAAAAGAATATGAATACATAAATAATATTACGAATTGTGATAATTGATTAAATTAATCATTTGGCAGTGCCTTCACTCAAGGGCGAGCATGCCGTATACCTGGATGTGTAAGCTATTATAGATGTATGTATATATTGTACTATATGCAAAGTAATTATTCTTATTATGTATTTTAGTTGTGTTTATTTAATGTAAAAATAAATTTAAATACAATATTAAATCAAACCGTGTGAAGTAAACCAGCAACAAAACTTTCATTCACCCGCCACTCGTCGGGATGGAGCAAAAACCGGCGTGAAAGCGCGGTCAGGCCAGCTCCATACATTTTACAACAGGCGAATAGAAATCGTCAGAAAGTAAACAGTGCGATGTAAGCAAGCTTTTAGTAACAGCTAATGTAAACACACAATGTTACGGTGCATGCGCATTTCAAATACAGCTCTGTTATCAGCAGTTTATTTACATTTTCGCCTTTTTTCGGCCTGCCACTGATTTATGCTCGCCTGGTGCTTGGCATTTGGGCGCACTGTGCAATTGCGGCCTCGCATACTTGGACCATTCACGTCGGACGATTCAACAAATGAATGCGATATTTTTTGAAACGAAAGAAAGGAAAACACAAAGCGGTTTTTTTTTCAAAAATATATAAATTTTCATTGGTTTTATTTTGTTAATTCTTTATAATGTGTCATAAGTTATACCTATTTCTAGCTGCACTCTCTAATATGCATGTGCATTTCTTTTAGAGTATACTATAATTCTAATAGTAGAGTTTCGCTGTCATAAATTACTAATTCTAAGTCGAACACTATAGTATATATTAATATTGAATGTATGTGTGTATGTACTCGTATACTATATGACGATGATATACAAGCGAGACGCTTGGAGTGCTGTTAAGCCGACAAATCATTCATGCTAAATCTAAAGCAAATAATTTACAATACTTCTTCATGTGACTTCGATGAGTGGGTTGTGTAAATAAGTGCCTATGTACTCGCATAAATCTAAATGAATGTCAAATTTAATTCAGACGATAAGGACTATGAACGTGCGTATACATGTGTGTTATATATGAAGTGCCACTTAAGACTAAATGAGAGATGAGTGGATGTCTGCGTGTGTGTGTTGTTGCACTAGATGAAGCTGTCTGCCCTATGCTAACTCTAACTTATTTTTCATATCCCCTATATTCATTAAAATATATCACAAAATCAGTGAAATGAAAATTCGCTGGAGTATTTGCTTTTGCTTTGGATAAATCTTATTGATGATGAGATGATACCATGAGGTGAATTATTGTAGCTGTTGGCAATGATTGGGCACGACGCACAGCTCCAGATCTAGCAACTGAATGCCCGTCATCTGAAGCTAATGCCGTACTTGCGGCCTATTTTGGGAGTGTGTATATAGGCAATGGATAGGAGCAGCGGCACATCGTTCTCAGACAGCTGCAGAGGAGTGGTAATGTCGCTCAGGCGACATAGATCCGTTTCGAGCAGGAGAGCGGCCAGTGTTTCCGATTGCAAATAAATCTCTTGTAGCTTTGACTCCAAAAACGAGAGACACTGCAACAATTTGAAGAATGGATAGTGGAGGTTATAAAAATTGTGAGCTCCCATAATTCATGCCGCATACACACCTCATAAGCTGGAATTCCGCCGACGTGCATGGCCTGCACTGTTTCGAGCATGCTGGAGACTAGCTGTGACATGCCCACAGGTGAGCTCTGATCTCCAGCAAACTGCTGAGCTTGCGAGGATATAAGACTCACATCCCATTTATCCATATCGGCCACAATGGCGATATTCTCCGCTGGCTGCGAAATCAACGAGGCAGACCGCGCAGCCAGCGCCAGATCTTCGCGCAGATGCATTTTCCATTTGGCTGGTGGCGCACAGGTTCCCTTTTCAAGAAGTTAGATAGATTTGAGACTTTTATAAGACCAGGAATAGCATTTATCTTACCTGCAGCACCATATCAGAGACGTAGTGATCGTTGACACTGAGCAGCAGAGAGGGAATGAAGCCGGCGCGCAACTTATCACCCGGTGGCTCATCCTCCTGAGGTAATTCCTTGATGCCCGGCACGGGGAGCTTCAGCAGCTGTTGTGATTCATTAACGGCCGCGCATTTGGCGGCCACTGAGGAGATCGAGCTACGCTGGGAGGGCACACGCTTGGGAAGCTTGCGCGTGTAGCTGACGGTGGAAATGTCATTGCAGCCAACTTCATTGCTCGGTGGCTGAGACGGAGAAGCTGCCGTCCCCGGCGCCGTCACCTGTTCCCCATCATTGGGCGCTGACTTAAGCGTGTCTATGGAGGTGGCAGAACTGGCGGGCTGCAACTTACGTCCCAGACTATTGCTACTCTGCCCGAAACAATGCACCTCGTCCGTCTCAAACTCCAGTTCGGTGGCATTGGAGGGCGTTTGATAGGTGGCCACACTCAACCCACTGTTGCACATCACACAGCGGTCACTGCTCACGGATGTTGTGGAGCCCGAGATGGCGGCGGCGCTTGAGCTGCTGGCTGTTAAGTCGGCCGGCTGATGTAACGTGACATTGCTGTCGCTTGTCTTGAGCGCCTCAGTTGCATCCAACTTGGTGGCCTTGTCCATCAGCAGGTCGTAGTTGGAGATGACCAGATTCTTGCTCTTCATATAGTTGGTGGCAATCTGTGGGTATTGCTCGAAGTTGAACTTCATGCCCGAATGTTTCTTGGCAATGGTGGCATCGTGGCTGCGCTGATGAAGCGCACACAGCATGGCTGGCTTGGCATCATCGGCGCCATCAGCCAGATCTTCGGTACTCTTCTTGATATTTATAAGCGGCTCATTGTCGCCCAATACAAAAACGACGCCATTTCCGTTGTCCGTTGTCGTGCGACAGATTCCATGCTCGCGTTCGATCTGCTTCTGACAGAGATCGAAATGGATCTGCTCCTCCAGACTGACATTCTCTTTTATCGGCTCAATGCCCCACGTCATGCGATCGCTTTTGCCAATACTGTTCTGTGTTATGAGATCCGAGAGCGACAGATGCGAGGCACGACGCTCCTGCGTATACGTCTCCATTTCACCTTGTTGAGTCACATTGGGATTGGAGTTACGGCGCTCCAGCTTACGGTTTATGATATTGACGCCTTGCTGCAGCTTCTCGATATCACTCAGACTGAGACCCTCCTTCACCTCCGACGTGGGCACAATGTTCCAAAGGAAGTTCTTCTTGCCCTGTAAATAAATATCAGCATTAACATAAAATATCGACAAAGTAGATTCGCATTTAATCTTCCCTATGGATCCCTACAATCGCAGGGGGGATTATAGAGCTCAGGACTACACTAAGATATTTAATGTGGAGCTGTGCACATTCACGATATTTGCTTAGATTTTATAAAACATGCTAGTTTCTTTCTAAGAAAGCATTTTCTTCTTCTTTAAAAAAAAAAGCTTAAACTTATTTAAGAGCTTTCCAAAAAAACTTGCATACTATTTTTGAAAAAATTCATATTTGTTTTAAAACTTCATCTATTCTTCTAATGAACTGTGGATTTGTGTTGTACCTGCAACTGCTTTTCCGAATTGTTGTTGGACGTGTCTGTGTTGGTGACTACTTTGGAGCTCCCATCTGCGGAATCGTAGTCGAGCGCCTCGATGGCACCATCGTCTATACTTCCTGTACCGACGCTTGCATTCGAGTCCTCCTCCATGGTCATCTCCACATTGTCCGGCGTAGTCACCGTCAGTTTAATGCGCCCATCCTTGTCGGTGCGAAAGTATCGCTGTGCCTGCTTAGCCAACAGTGTCGTCTTATCGATGCCCGTGTCCATGTGGTAGTTACCGATGCGCAGTTCTTGCTGCACAAAGTGAGAGTCGCGAAAAGCCAGCACCGTGGGAATCTCGTTCTTTTTAAGCGTACCAATCAGCTCACTATTATCCGGCTCGTCCTCCTCGCTGCCCAGCTCGTCATCGTCCACAATAGCGTTCAGATTCTGCTTACAAGTAGAGGTGCGCGTCAAGCCTCCACCTCCACCACCAATACTTCCAACAATGCCACTTCCAATGCCCCCAGAAGCGGGTTGCCTGCGCAATACGCCCGGCGCCCGACTGGGATGCGGACTCATCGAACTTTTCTTCAACTTCTCGTTGTTGTTCTGGCTAACGAGCTGATTAATCAATTCCTTGTTGAAGTCCTCACGCTTGGCAGCGCGTCGCACCTCGCCACATCGTATGAAATAGGTGAGCACATTGAGCAGCTTCTCCACCCACAACTTCTCTGTTCCATAGATGACAGTTCGCGCCAGCTTTGGATGAATCCCAATGGCGCCGTAGAGATCGCCCAGTTGAGCCCAAAGCGCGTTGTAAGGATGCTTTTGTGAGACTTGCAGCAGCTTGGCACGCTGCTCAATAGCCGCCGTGGAGGCTTCCGAGCGTCGCGATGTTGAGGTATTGAATGCCGACACCGTGGCCACCCAACCCAGATGATAAGTCAGTATCCCTGTGAGCATCGTGCTGATGAAGCTGTTGAACGTTCAATTATAATTATATTGTAGGTGCAATAAGTCAATGTAGAGAACTTACAAGTTGGAGTCCTTGGTGTCGGCAAAGGAGAGCAGATCGCAGAGCTCCTTAATGAAACGTTCGGCAACCATTTTAGAGTATTTGCTGCCACTGGTCGTAATGCTCAGCCAGACGGGCGTCTTGATCCGAGGCGCCGTAAATAGATCGTTAAACCATTTCTGCGCATCCTGCCAGGCTTGGAACATAACCTGAAAAATGGATTTGATAAGAGCATTTTAGATTACTAAATTACAAAAAAAAAAGTATGCCCTTTTACGAATTTAACTAATTAGGGCAGCATTTAAGATAGATTGCTGAAAAATGTTGACAATGTGTGATTGTACGTTTTGCGAATTCATTTTGAATTTCCTATGAATTTTATGTTATGTCAACCATGTTAAAACAAAGGGCTTTATGCAATTCTAAGAAAGAATTTCCTATCTACGTTTTGTAATGCTTAATAATATTAATCACTATCAGAATTTTAAGAGTTAATTAATGATAAGTACACCCCATAGCCGTCATAGAAGAATGATGAGTGATTACAATTTGCCCCACATATCTAATTAAGATTCGGTTAATACTTTAGGGCTTACTCTACTTTACCTGCAAAAAGTTCTTGTGATTGAGATAGGCAAGCTCGGTGCTGGCTCGTAGTCGGCTCAGCATGGACTCCAGCAGCGCAATGTGCTCGCTGCAAAATAGTTCCATCTCCTCCTCAAACGACTCGCTCATGATAATACAGACAGCTAAGCCCAACTTGGCACGCTTCTTGATGCTGGCCTGTCGCTTTCCCATCTCTGGATTACTGCGCGTCTCGGTAGTGCAGTAGCTGGCACGCCTATATTGAGGAGCTCCCATGCCGCCGCCCTCGCTTCCACCCGTGGTTGGATTTAGGTCGTAGTTATCGCTGAGGAAGCCAATAAAATCGTTCTGGGAGTTCTCGTACTCGAATGAGGTGCGCAGATTGCGTGAGATTCGACGGACTAGGCAGCCATCGTTGGCAAACTCCTCCAGATGAGGTGAGCTAGGGAAGAGTGCTGAGTCCATACTTAGTTTACGAACAGGATCCGACTGATCGGAGAGCACGGAGCCAAGGCTGCTGCGCGTGGAATACTGATAGGACCACTGGTCGCTGGAATAGGGACCACTGGTACCTCCACCACTTCCACTGCGACTACTACTGAGACCTGAATAGCCCGAGTCCGTAGCATTGCTGTAGGTGGACGAGAAGCGGGGTCCACTATCTGCCGAGTTAATCGAGAGCGACTGCTGATCAGGTCCAGGGACATCTAGCGGTGACGTCAGACTCATTTGTCGGCATACGGACACGCTAAACGGCATAGAGAATGAATTCATGGAGAGGCCATCTATGGATCCTTGCTCGCTGCAAATCGAGGTGCGCGGCGTTGCCAGACTGTTCATGGAAATCGTGGAATACGGCGAGTGACCGCTGCTCGCACAGCCTGCTGACGAACTCATAGGCGTAAGAAATACTTGGGAACAGAGAATGCGAGCCGGCTCCGGCAGCCAATGCACCTTTAAGGCGGTGCCGCAAAAGGACATCGCCAGCGACCCAAAGACCATTTCGCCCATAGGTGTTATATCCGTACTAGATGGTCGATTGTGCTACAAAGTGGAAAAGATAGAAATTACATATAAGATAACTCATCCTATTTAGTCTTTCAAATCATCATCCGAGATCTTCAAATCGTACAAAATCTTCAGGTATGACAATAATTGGAAAAAACGTTTTAAATATAGAAAACTTTAAACAAATTATGTGGTCTACCGTTTATATATCAAGAAATTGGCCTTCCTTTATAAGGCCAGAAAGTGTATTGTAAAGTAAATTGAAATAGAAAAAAGGCGTTTAAATGAAAAATTATTTTTTCATTTGGGAACACAGACGTACGCGTTATAGATTTATTGTAAGCTTTTGCGACTTTTCTTGTTTTGAGTGTTTTTTTCCTTATGTATTTTTGGACTATTTTAACTTAAAGTAAGCCAGGATGTTTTATTTGTACTAACCCTGTAGCCATACTCTGGACACACATCGATAAAGTTGTTTGTGTTGGAATGTGCTTTCGACTGCATCTTGCCATTCTGCAGCGCCGAATATTTGTCCTCACCGGATCGGGCATTTTTAAGGAATTTGCCGGTGGACGATGAGGTGGCTTCCTTTAGTGTCACCTTTTGTAGGGCATTCGAATCGAAGAGCAGACGTCGCCCGCGACTGTCGTCCTCCTTATAGAGCAACACGCGTACCTGCCGGCCATCGAAGGGAAATTGGCTGTCAAAAATAGAAACAGAAAGGAAGTGGGCGTATGAAAAAGAAACCATACTGATTGGGAAATATAGTAGTACGGGTGGGCGTTAGTTAAACGGACTGCTGGCGGTCCGCGGTTGCCAGCTGGCAGCTGGCAGCCATCAACCACTAGGCGCGACAGACAATTACAGCGAAAACTACACAAAGCCCCAATCAACCCAATCTTTATACATACATATGTACATATGTATGTGCATACATATTCTACATTCACATCAACATCTTTGCGCCCTCGCTTTGATTATGGCAAATTGTACGATCTATATATAGATCGACAAAAGCACGTGAGCATTACTCATGCGAAACGAACGGCAACTAGTGCCAACGACTTTGAAAAAACTTTGGTGCTGTCATCACAAAATTTTACAATGCGCAAATGTTCGATAAGACAGAGGTGCCAAGGAGTACTTAGATGGCATTATCATTATCGGTTATTGCAATAACACGCCTATATATATGGGCCAATTGGTAACAACAAGTTAAAGTTAATATTAATGGAATTTGCTGTGAAATTATCTGACGTCAGAGCAATAGATTGATAGATTGGTAATACCCCCTTAAGATCACTCCGAAACGCATTAAGCCGAAAGGTATATTCGTGTTTTGTGGGTACGGTCTTCGCTTTATTTCACCTGCAGATTTGAGCGATTTTATTTTTAGTGACTCTATAAATGACTTGTCTAATACTTGTAGGTAGCGCAAAACGAGCGCTATATTTAACGATTTAGTGCGGGTGCTCTTTAAATTGTTTTATAGCCCACGCGATAAGACGGCAAATTTGTATTATTTGCTTTAGATGTGACAAAAACAAAGCAAGATTAGCCAAAGGAAAAATAACGAGATGCTATTTTAGAACTGCCATGGCTTGCATATATGTGTATATACATTAATTTAGTTAAATATATATGGAAAATCATACGATTTTTGCCAATTTTGCTTTTCGCAATAGCATCTTTATGTTTTATAGTTTATTAAACTTTGCGTTGGAGGAGAAGAACTCTCTATACTGCAATGTTTCCGCATGATGAGCATTTCTTCTGAAATCGATTTGTTCCGATACAGCTATTAAAATTGTGCACGATTACATGTACTTTGTACATATACTTCAGTTCTGTTAACGGAATGATAGGAAATTACTTTTACATTTCTAGTTTAGTGAGAATGTGTGTAACGTGCAGAAGGATGCGTGACAGCCTCACACAGTATCTTTATTCATGATCAGTATGCCAAGACGAGTCGGTATAGCCAAGTCCGTCCTTATAAACGGAAGAATATCAGCAAGTTTAAGAGCTAAAACAACCAAACTTGGTATTCTTATTTAATTAAGTCTTAGCTCTAAGTCGAAGTCTTTGTGTGGTTTTTTTTTATTCAGCATTCTTTCCACTCCACTGCCATTACTAATTTCTTTTGGCTCTTTTTGGCATTTCTTATATGTCCTATATTCAATTCAAGTCCTTTCGGACGGCATTCGACTCTAACTTTCCACTCAAGTTTTATTTCAAATATACACAATAATAATATATGTATTATTTATAACTGAACAATTTCAGAATTCTACAGAATTCGAAGCATCATTTTCCGATTCCCTGTCATAGATGGCGAATTCATCTAAATACTTTCTAAAACAGACGTAGGTTGTAATGTTATCATTATTAATTTTGGATAAAATAAAAGGCTTACTAATCTCATTTCTAATGATCACATTTGACTTTGACAGATCGACTTTGGTTTATTCTTAATTGGCATTTTTGTACAAAAATACAGTTTTTCAAAAGTTAATCAAGCTTTCCTTATGTGGTTGAGAATACAAATATATTTAAAAATGGTATACTGCCATATATTTGTGCCAGGGATGCCAAACAGAGGAATTTCAGAATAATACAGAGTATCGAGAACTTAACGCGCACACTGTTACAACAATAGGTGCGGACCTTCAAAGGCACAGTAGCACAAGCAATTACACTGACCAGTATATTAAGCTCTCATGTAAGCCAAATTAAATGCAGGCACTTGAACGCTGTGGCGGTCACTTTGTGATAATTACAAATTAAAACCATTACCTTATATCTAAGGCCCGGCGGGAGTTAAGAAAAAGAGAGAGAGAGCTTACGTGTATTTAAAGGGTGGTGTATGCATGCGGTTCAGATTACGGTGGAATTACGGTAGCACCGCTCGACTCGATAACGAAAGAGTGGAAGGAAAAGGCTGGTGAAAATTGTTCATTTACAGTTAAAGCGCGGGCGCAACGTTAGGCATCAACAGAAGGGGAAAAAACGAAACTGGAATAGAACGAAACGGGACGGGACGCGTCGGTGATATCTTTATGGGCACGATGCTTTAAACGAAATGAAGTTCAAGGCAGGCGCCTGTGGGCGAGCAAGCGCGTTTGTCCAGCTGCGTGCGTTGACAGCGACGATAAAAACGGCAATATGCAAAGGCAATAAGGGGCGACGGCTCAGTTTATCGATATACCATACCTATTTATTTAGATAATACAGGCAGCGACGCTCTAAGCAGCGACGTTGGGGCTTCGTGCAACGGCACACGATCAAACGAACCACAAGTGAGCAACCAACCGAGACCGAGACAGCGACCGAGACCGAGACCGACTGTCTAAGCTCTTCGCTCCCGATAGTATTCGTGGTCGTGGCTGCTACATTTCCATTTTCATGGGGCATCATTTTTGCAACCATTCGTTCGGCTCACATGATTCGTGAGCTAATGTGTGGGTGGGCTTTCAAGTCCCAGACGCTTCTACTTGACAGCATCATGTGGCTTGTGACCATTTAGCCATTTAATTTGGTGGCCTGTCAGTGTGGCATGATGTGTTAATATTTTTGTTTTGTTTCAAACGCCAAGCCCTGACGAAGACAGACACCAATTTTGACGACCACCACTATTTGATGGATTAGTTAAAAAAGGCAAGGAAACAGTAAACATTGATTAAATGGGAATCTTTGTCATTGCGTTTATTTCGGTGCTGATTTGTTTAAAATCTTTTAAGACAAAAATCTTTTATCTTTAAAGAAGTTTTTATTTTAATTATCATGTGTCAGAGCTCTTACATAAATATGTATATTTTACTATTAAAGCCATATAGGTAGTGCTAGTAATTTCAACACATTGCTTAATCAATTATATTCAGTCCTCACGGACTTTAAATTCAGAAATTTAAGATGAATTGGCTTTTAATGGTTTTCTATGCATTACTTCCTTTCGGTTGTTAGTTCTATACAAGTGAGACAAACATTACATTTAAGAGATTACATTTAAACTTATGTAGAGGAAATATGATTTTAAGTTATCGTTAAAGCAATATTTACTGTACTGTAGCTGGAACCGATGGACTTTGCGAGCAGTTCGAAAAACGGATTTGGCATACGTGCACTTTGGACAGTCAGCTCGCCCGCCCAGCTAGCCGGACCGAGAGGCTAACTAGCCCGTTCAATGAGTGGCGATGTAGTTGAGATCAAGTGTAAATAATTAACGAACTACCGCTAAGTTGGTCAACGACAGCTCAGTTAGCTGCTGCTGCTTTATTATTCTATATATATTTTCCACATTTTTTCACTTTTTTTTGTGTTTTTGTTTTTCTTTCAACATTCACATGATCACATGCTTTTTTCAGCTACGCAAGCAAAACAAAAAGCGAGCCACAGCAAGAAAAAACAATACATATTAAGCAAATACAGGCAAGCATATGATCAATATATATTTTTATATATACATACATACATATATATGTGTGTAATATGTGGAAAAGTACGTTTGTGTGTCGGTCTGTCTTTGGGGCACTTAAAGATTGCGCGCGCGTCTGCTCTTTAGGCCAAGGCGCCTAGCCAAGTGCGCTACATTTTGATTGATATGCATAGAATTTATGAATGTACCAGCTAGATATATGGCCTGCTTGTTATCAGCACGGATTATGTTCCGATTAGCAGCGGCATTTGCCATCGCTTAAGAGCAATGATTGATATGGGAAAATTTGTTTTTAAGTTGGCGGGCCCACACCTTAGTCATCCATAGAAGTGTGTTTGTGCGCGCGCTTATATGTACATACATATATAGCCACCAACTATATAAATAGTGCAATCAGAGAACATTGCGGTCGACAGCGACAGACACATCCTCATCATAATCGAATCAAATGGAATCAACATCTGTTAATGGCTTTACAGAGCATTTGTATAGGCTGTCTGTCTCCCCTCCCTATCTCTGCACGAGTACGAGAATGTACGAGTATGTGTGAATAAGTGCGAGAGCAATAATGTATAAAAACAGATTTCCAAAGCAAAGCGACTACACCAGCAACAACAACAATAGCAACGAGTTCCTCTATACAAACAATTTCAATACAACAACAACAGAACACACAGCTCAGTCAGTCACATGACCAAACCGAATGCCAAACCAACGAACACCATCACCATCATAAGTACAACGCCAGCCAGAAAGGCAGTTCATTCCCGTTCCATGCCACTATGGGATGACGAGGGAATTTTAGACCAACAATTAGTTTTACAATATAACAAGTCGGGCATTTGCAGGTCAAAGAAGTCAATAATTTACAGATATCTTCTAGTTTTCATTTGAATAAGGATTTAGCTATGTATCTACTGCGGTTTTATTTACATTTGTTTACCAGAAAACATTTTCATTTTAAAACGCTTCATAGGCAATATATGAAATATATGGCTCGAAATTGCGAGTAAATAACGTTTTGTTAAATTCATAATAAACTATAAAAATAATAACCAAGCCCTTTTTTACGCCCTTAAAAACTCGAAAGAATTACAAATTTTTGCAACACGTTTTCTTATTCACTTAATGAACGATTCAGAGAAAAGTATTCCTTGAGAGAAGTTTAATTTTTATCACTGGCAGGTGGGAATTTAATTCATCATCAATAATCCCTAAGATTCTGGTATGTGAGCCTGTTCCAGAGTTCCACGACTCTGCCATCA